AGAGGCTGCAGCTGAGGATGGACTTAGACTCCTTCTATTTAGTTTCTTCCTCTCCATCCTTTGTCATTCAGCTCCTATATTTCGTGAATCCCCTGCACACCCACGGTCATAAAAACACAGCTTCGGTCACTCTTTATGTTTGGACTTATTTAAACACCTACATCTTTCAGTTACACTCGGCATCAAAGCCTTTTTTCCATCTTTATGGAATCACCGTTTCTTCACAGGTCCTTTAGGCTCCTCAGGCACAGGTGGCCCCCACACACATAGATTACACCAAACCCCTTGCAGATAATTGCAACATTCAAACTTTTTCAGCTGCCGTGTGCCTCCCTTCACCTCGTACAGGTGAAATGTGTAGGCATATGCGCTTGTCACTCAGTAACCCCAACTAACTGCAGAGCCAACCTCACGGAAATGACTCAGAGCCGTTCAGAAGCCGCTGGGGGGATAAAAACATTCAAATGAACAACATCATCAAATCGAGTTTCACCAGATTGGCATGCATCCATAATGAATGTTTAAAAAAGAAAGAAGAAGAATTGCCCTGGGAGCTGTTGATTCTCCACCAGTGTCTGACTGTAACAGGCTGCCCTGCACTCTCCGCCTCGCTGTGTTTACGCTTCATCTCCTCGCTGTCTTTAAAGACAACTTAGCAGGGGGAAACTAAGCTGGGCTTCGGAGTGCAGCGTGCACACAGCAATACACACAAACACGTAAACGCAAAGCAGAGCTGTAATCTTTCCACACACTTGTGCTATTTAAAACTATTTTCTGTGTGCGTGTGTCAGTGTCGTCTGCAGCACATTATCGTCAGCGCGACCTCCTCCCGTCCTCCATCACAACAAACATTCCAACTGCAGGGGTCGCGGCGACAACGGGGAGCCAATTACACACCAGTGTGTTTGATCAGAACAGACGGCTGATGCACTCGCACACAGAAACCAGGGTGCATGTACATACGCCGAACATAATTTTGAATCCATTCGCCGTCCCTCATTCCGCGCTGAAATCATCTCTTTTCTGCAAATAACTAAAGTGGCGTCTCCCCGCTTTAATTTGCACGGCTGTCGACGTCCAAGAATGTTGATGTGTTTCATTTCTGCGTCTTTTTAGAGAAATTATTTGAAATCTGCAGATCTGGGAAGAAAGATGGTAAAGATGTTCGATGAAGAGTTGTAGTAGAGAGCCGGTGGGGAAAGATGCTTACCAACACGGTTGACAAGTGACACGGGACCCTTCTGTAGAGAGTCGCTGTGTGTGTGTTGCATAGTCCAGCCCCTGGGGTCCTGCGGGTGGTGGCCCCAGATTGTGGCTCTGCTGTCACATCCCTTTAAGGACCATCGCCTCGCCTGTCATACACACAGCGAGGCACACATGCGCGACGCTCGGCCTGCCACGTCCCTTGAAAGCCAGGAAGCTGAGATGTGGCAGCAGATTAATGTTGTATGGCCTAGCAGCACACATAGAGGCGCACTCGCTTTGACACAGCTGGAGCCTCGGCTTGACTCCTGTCAAACCTAAAGTCTCCTAAATATTTAGGAGGAGAAGCAGCACCGGCGGCGCTGGCTGGTAATTACATCGTAATAAGTTTATAGTTTGCACCACGAGCCAAACATAAATAGACTTATTGTACTACGATAAATTAGATTTGGTGAGATGTGGAATATGTTCTCAGAGTGACATAAAACGAGAACCAAAGCTCCTTCTTAGACTGATGCTGAATATGTCTAAAGCTTCAATGAATGTTTAATGTCTTGCATGAAGCTGCTTCAATAACCAAATGAGTTGGAGTTAGCTCCTCAGACGCATTTGATCAGAGATGGGATCTGACAGATTAATCCTCAATTATTTAAAAGTTGTTTATTTAGTTTTCTTTTTTTTATATATATATAAACCAACAGCAATGTTTTACTCAAGCAGTTGAGAAATAACACTTAGCACTACTCTGTGTTGGGAATGAAATCAGAGTTAATTTGGTTCATATCCAACTTGCTTGTTTCCTCGTTTATTGAAAGAATTGTTTACATAATGAATTAGTTGTTTTCTAATTGCTTTGCGGCTTTGGTCATTTTAAGTTCAGGCTTTTCAACCATTACTACTAATTTTATCACAAATAATATCTGAGCATGAAGAGTTTCCTGATGGTTTGTCATTTTCTTTAAGCTAGATTAAAAAAAAATGAAATTTCGAAGGTGATTGTAGATTACAGCTGGCTAAACTAGACTTATAATTGAAATGTATTTACCAGTTCATCGGTTTAGATAACTTTTATTCAACCAACACTTGTGTTTCTGATAGAAAATTGCAGGCATCTCAAAATATGAGAAAATAATCTAAAAGTATCAGCTATGCAGAAAGAGACTCAACTTTTATTTACATTATATCAGTGAAAAGTTACTTCTTACGCTGCTTAATAATAAATCGAAAGCTGTTTTTTACCATTCTTATGATGTCTGACCATTTTCTTTTTATTTTTCCACTTCTTTGATGAGCTGCTGTAGAGTTTAAAGGCCTCGCTGCCATCACCTTAATCTTTAACCCCTCCTCACAGATGAAATTGAGGCACTTTACAAATATACAATGTTAACAACAATATTTCAAAGGGCAATAAAGACAAAAAAAGGAAAAAATTGTCCCGATGTTGAATTATTTCCATTATCGTCCAAATAATGTTTCCATATGACCAGCTCTGTTTCTAAGCTAACATCTGTTTAAGAAAAAGCTAAAAGATCTAATATGAAATAAACATTAGAGACCATTACATTAGTTTTCATCCATCCATCCATTATCTGACACGCTTGTCCCGAGTGGGGTCGCGAGGGGTGCTGGTGCCTATCTCCAGCAGTCAATGGGCGAGAGGCGGGGTCCATCCTGGACAGGTCGCCAGTCCATCGCAGGGCAACACAGAGAAAAACAACCATTCACACACACTCTCACACCTATGGAGAATCTAGAGAAGTCAATTAACCTAACAGGCATGTTTTTAGACTGTGGGAGGAAGCCGGAGTACCCGAAGAGAACCCACACATGCTCAGGGATAACATGCAAACTCCATGCAGAAAGACCCTGGGCCGGGAATCAAACCCAGAACCTTCTTATTTGCAATAAACTCAGAACCAGATCATTGTCTTAATTAGCAATGACTCCACATAAAAATCCATTTTGCCTTTTTAAGAGTAAAAATATTTCAGTAAAAGCCTAAAATAATTGTAATTATTGTTATCTCTTAATGCCACATGTGTTGCCTTTTTTATCGGACCTTAAAGCCCAGCTTTATAATAGTTGTTATTTTCTGCTTCTCTTATGTCCTAATATAGACCGACTAATTTATTAACGGCGCTTATCACACCTTTGCAAGGCTTTCTTGTTTTCTAAGTCCTGACCCCTTATCTGTAGGTGTTACTTGCATGGTATAGAGACGCAGCTTTTGAGTTAATAAACATCAGCTGAGGATTTTGAAAGGTTTGGCAGAGTTTATAAATGCAGCTGAAAATAGGGATGTGAAGTAAGCTTTAAGGTTCACTGGCCAGCATTAGCTATGCTATGAGCCAGAGCCAAATGCAGCAGGCGATTGGGAGGGTTACCCAAACTTGGTGCTGAACTTTCCAGCTCTAAATGGTTCACAGTTAAAGCTTAGCGAATTCTTCCTGAGTCTAATTGGCTCAGGAAGAAGTTTATACTGAAATAAAACAGTAGAATCCCCCCCAAAACTCCACTTTTTAATATTTTTACACCCAGACTCCTAGTTTTGGTTTCTTTTTATGTCATGGATGTGTCATTTTATCGTGTCTCGTTTTGGAGATTTTAACACGGCTGTGTTGCTAGCCGGGCCCTTCGCTAAAAATACTTATTGCTGAGCTTAAAGGTTTCAAACCAAGTTGTTCGGAGGCTCTGTGTGTTTGCCAGAGTTATGAACAATATTTCGATGCATTATAGTCGTGTGGGATGACAGCCGTCATTGTATGTACCACTCAAGCCCTCCAGCGTTACCATGGAAACCAGGGTATTTATGGCTTGTGAAGAAGTTGCGACATTAATTGAAAAAGGCATGAGAACTTAATGCTGAAATTGCTACTCCAAATGATTTTTCCCTCATCCGTGTTGATGAAGGCTCATTGAATTCAATGTGATGTTCTAGTTGTTTCAACCTTTTAGTAAACTATTTGTTTTAACAGCTTATGATGCAAAGTCATTACTTGAGCAGATCCAGCGTTCTGAGCGGAGATGTTCTGTTTTTAGCCCCCAGTGTGCAGCAGAAAGCGATGACACGTATTAGAGCAGTCTATCGGTGTTCAGCCACTCGCACTAACTCATCACCCTTAACGGCGAGCACACCGCCTGGTTTCCCCTCGATCTGCTCCCTTCTCCGGGCCCCGCTCGCCCCCTACCCTCGGCTGCCCCCCTCGTAAATGAATCATCACGTTGCCCAGCAGAGCAGAAATGTTCCTTAATTGCGTCGACATCACCTGATCCGTCTCTCACGCGCACATGCACCTAACACACGCAGCGTTAATAGGTGTTTGGGGAGGGGGGGGGGCAGGTCGCGTGTCTCGCTGCCACGCGTCCTGTCAGTGCGGCTCATCGTTAAAAGGACTCAGGAGTCCGTGTCCTCTCTCATCCCGCATTGTTTTCCCTCCTCCTCTCCCATGTTCTCCTGGTGTAATGATTCGGATCAGATGCTGCTGTGTGCAATGAGGATTTTTCTCCCCCACCCCACCCCTCACCCCATGCCCGTCTCTCACACTGGCCCTCTGGCTGACAGGCATCTCGTTAGTGCGGTATGTCTGTCAGAGAGGCCTGAGATTGAGCTGTGCCCCCGCATATCCCCGACTTCTCTCAGACGCGCTCATGAGTAGGCTAAGTTGTCCGCAGCGGCGTGAACTAGTCAGACTTTCAGGCCTCAGTAATGATCCGATGTTTAACGGAAATGTTATTTTCGTCCAAAGAATCACATTTCGTCTAACATTGTCCTGTCCCCCCCTCCTGTTTTCTGTCAGGTGGAAATCAAGATGAAGAAGACGGATGCCATCAGATGGGAGAAGCTGGAGGGAGAAGGACAAGAGTCCAACATCAAACACTTCGATCCGAGTCAGTACTCAGCTTTGCCATTTAAACTCCATCTTTAATTTTTTTTTTTGCTCCCCTCTAATCTCCTATCTATATCTGCTCCCCTGCCTCTGCTGCCGTCAGGCTGTCTCCCTGTCTTCCTGCTAAACCACTTCTTGTTTCTTTCTCTCAGCGAAGATCAATATAAGCTGCTGTTTGTCTGTTCTTCACTAAAATGAGAGTGGGCAGTCCAGCCCTGCTGGAGTCTTTCATTAGTGTGACGGAGAGGGAAAGGTATGGCGGCAACATACAGCTCGGCGTCGTAGCCCACGCGCTCCTGAAACCGACCCGATTAAATACTTATGTAGTTGTGTTTGCTTGGAAGGCAAAGTCATAAAGGGGGGAGCCAAACTATTTTTCCACGGCCCAGTTTTCTGTTTATTAGGGACTGCCTTTAACTTTAGGTTTGTGATACATTCGAACATATTGGACTTTTTTTGTTTTGTGGCAAATTCCAATATGTCCACACTTGGCCTGAATCTGTCTGCTGCTGTATTTCTATAAATCTCCATCTGGATTACACGCCCTGCTCTCCATCCTCATGTGTTGTTTGGATTATAGAGGATGTTTTACATTCAGGGAGAAAAACGGGAATCAAACCTCAGTGTGATTGTTTACCAAGCGACTTTGATGAGAAAAGGGAGATTTATTCAGCCTTGCATGTCTCGTTTCTCCTATGCAATAGACCGACACAGCAATGCATAATTGAGAGGTGGGCGGGAAATTATCCCTGTTTTTTTTTGTTTGTTTGTTACATTTCCAATAGGGCTAAAACAATCTGATTAATCATGATTAAAGTCCTGTCACACCTTAACGATTTAGTCCAGCGCAGGTCTGACGCACAAAAAATCTGGCTAAAATGCTGGCATACGTTGGATAAGTTATGGATATGTTTTGTAAAAGTTATGAGTATGCAGCAGCACGCTGGCAGACGTCAACATACGGCGAGTACGTCAGCATATGCTCATATGTTGGACATAAGTTACAGGAAGGTTATTTGTAGGGGTGGAACGGTTCAGAAAAATCCACGGTTCGTTTCGGTTCACGGTTTCGTGGTCACGGTTTTCGGTTCGGTTCGGTATATGTTGATTGTTAGGAAAATCTATTATGTCTTGTATAGTACAACACGTTTGCACAATGCTTGCACACTGTTGCACTTTTATCCACAACTTTCTTTCCGCCGTCATCGTAGGTCACTCTAAATGCAAAGCGCTCCCATACAGCAGACCTATAAAGTGCTGCTGGCGCGTCTTCCAACTCCTGTTCTTTCCCACTCGCCATACCCACACAGTTCTCCACAACAACAGATTTTTTTCTGCTACACCCGGCTAAGCTGCTTCGCTTCTTCTTCTTGTTTACTACTGGTGGTTGGCTTTGGTCACAGTACCGCCACCTTCTGCTCTGGAGTGTAAACGCTTCACCTATGAGAAAAAGAAGCAGCGCATGAACCAAAAGCACGCGAATCAAACAGAGACAGTCGAACCGAACGGTTCGGACGGTTTTCATAAACCGTTCCATCCCTAGTTATTTGATCGTTGACATACCTTAAATAATTGTAATTTACTCATAAGTCGGTTTGTCCAGCTTATCCAAATTCTATGAGTAACTTATATACGTAACTTATCTAGAACTTATCTCCAATGCATATCAACCTATCTGACGTTTTCCAGACGACCGCAAAACATGTTTCCAACATACAGCTACTGTATAATCGCAATTTTGCAGTGTTTTGGTTTGAAAGGGGGTTTGCAGGAGGAAACCGTCAGTTCTCCTCCCGACTTCATCCCCATCATAGGGTAAGTGAGAACGTGAATGTGCTGGATCCTCTCTGCGTTCACGCCAACGGCCAACAATCAACCTAGCAGACATGACCCTGAATCTGCTGCGACTCCAAACTCTTCTTTTTTTTTTTTTTTTTGGTGGGCGGTAAACAGCAGTTAGGTTAACAACCCGATAAAAAACATCTTTTTATGCAGACCAGGCGCCTCCATGTGCATTGCTGCCTCCCTTAGGACACTGGCTTGACATTTCATTGGTATTATGCTGCCGTACGTTATGCTTAAGTTAAGCTGTCATTGGACTTAAGTTCTGGACTTGTCATGAATACGCTATCTATATGCCTAAAATTGAAAGAAAATATTGAAAGTACAGTGTATGCTAGCGTTTTAAAAGATTCTGGGATGTCAGGCATGCACTGGTTAAATCGGTAAGGTGTGACAGGGCCCTAAAGGATTATTGATATAATCGTCAACCAATTTAGTAATCAATTAATCATTAACTGGAGTATAGAGACTGTAAAAGATGCCTTGAGCTGACAGATCAACCCAGTTAGAGCAGTAATTATACCAAAAAAAAAAAAAACAATACATTACAAGATGATACACCTAGTTATGCTTCCTTGCTCTTGTACGTCAGCCATTTAGACCAGCGTTTGTTGTATGAATGTCCTTTCATACGTAAAAGATATGTCAGTTTTTCCATAGGGTGAATCTCCTCCACGACATCTCGCCAGTGGTCCAACTGGGGTGGGAGTTTCTTTAGCCAAGACCGTGTAATTGCTTTTTTGCTTGCAATTGACAGAACTTTAAAAAGGTACTGATCTTCTTTTTGAAACACTTTTCCAGACATCAATCCCAGCAGAAAAATTCTAGGGTCATTGGGGATGGCATACCCCAAAATTGTCCCAGTTGTCTGACAGATTCCATCCCAGTAAGTTGCCAACTTTGGGCAGGACCAAAATACATGAGAGTGATTGGCGTTCTGATGACCACACTGTCTCCAACATTGCTGTTCTTCTCCTCTATATCTACTAGTAATTTGAGGTGTAATAAAGTATCTGATTAAGCACTTCCATCCGAATTCCTTCCATCTTTTGGAACTAGTAGATGTCTGTTGTGTCACACACATTGAAAGCCAATCATCCTCTGTAATTATAACTCCCAATTCTCTTTACCATTTAGACTTAATGTTTAAGGTGTTATTTCCATTATGTTCCTGCAACCCTTTATATAGTTTGGAAACAGTTTTACAAGGGAGGTGAGTATAAGCTTTCGTAAAAATTTTCACAATAGTATTACCTTCTGGAGGAACACCTTTTTTTATTTTCGTATCGTAAAAATGCCTTACCTGGAAATATTTAAATAAATCTCTGTTCTCAAGATTATACTCCCTTTTCAGATGCTCAAATGTTTTGAAGGTGTTACCTTCTGATTTAGCTTGTTTTTAGGCTAACCCTCCATTGTAAAACACATCAGCAGCATCATAGTGTGGAGATGCTTTTCATCAACATTGGAGAAGTGACCAAGATGCTCAGGCTGAATAAAAACTGTAGCTGTGGCCTCCACAAGTCCGTCCTCTCTGAAAACTTGGCAGAAATAGGCACAAAAAAGTGGTGGCAGTATCATGCTGCGGGAATGTCATCAGTAGAGACATGAACGTGGGTCTGAGTGTTGCCAAAAATTCTAAACTGGGGCAGAGGTTCATAGGGGCCTAGTCAAAGTCCTGACCTAGCCTCGTGAGACCATCCTGATCTCGCGAGCTTTCAAGGTTTCACTCGCCAATCAGTCTGGAGACTCTCCGTTAAAGAAAATTTGGAGCCGTTCACCAAACGAACGTCCAATCAGCGTTGACTTTGAGGCAGGTTGAGGTGTGACGCAACGAGAAGCGCGACAGTTCAGTCTAAAGAACATGGCAGCTTCAGCCGATGAAACTAGCGTTAGCGTGGCTATCGAGCAAGTTTTATCGGAATTACAGAGTATTTCTTCACTTTTCTCAAAGGAAAAGATGTTTTTGCTCTTCTCCCGACTGGTTTCACAAGAGTTTAATCTATCAATTGGCTTGTGGTTGTGTTTTCGTTGTTGCTCTGTTAGTACGTCATATGCTTCGTTGATCTGATTGGTTTATTTGGCCCGTCTATCAACATAGGCCAATCAGCTAACCAGTATTTTCGCCCCTTCCCAAAATTACTTCAACGGAAGGTTTCCAGATGGATATGCGGAGCAAATCCATCTGGCGGAGTCAGGTTAGTCCTGACCTACTTCATGAGCAGAATCTGGCAGAGATCCTGAAAATTAGTGACCATAGATGCTCTCAGTCTGATAGGGAGATTTTGAAATGCAGATATAAGCCTGAAGATGTGCATCTGGGAGGTGGAATACAAATGGAAGACACTTTGTCATTAATTTTAGACTAAGTGTAATTTTAATAGTCTCTTCTTCATGCATTTTGTTTTTGTCAGGTTCACATAGAAGCCTGGTAAAACACAGTTTTCTAGTTCGTACAGTAGAAAGATCAAATAATGTGAATACCTCGACAGCTCACTGTAGGCGGATTTTCCCTCTTCTGTCCTGTATCCTTTTCCTTACCATTTCTGCTCTGAAATTAACAGAACGAGGTTCCCAAAACCTTTTTTTTTCTCCTCCCTTCAGATCAGTACCCCACATCTTCCCACTACACCCGAAAGTGGGAGAAGATGGTGCTGGACATAAGCGAGGAGGAGAAGAACGAGAAGCTGGAGGGAGACGCGGCGCTCAACAAGCTCTTCCAGCAGATCTACTCAGACGGCTCAGACGAGGTCAAACGAGCCATGAACAAATCTTTTGTGAGTATTCGCCTTGTGATGACGTGTGACTTCCAGGCTCATGTTCACACTCGTTTGCTCACTGCAATCAGCTAAGACTCAGTGTTAGCACTGCAGCAGGATGCTCATTTGTCTTTTATAAGTTTGGAACAAAGGAAGTGCATCATCATTTTTATGCATGTCTCCTCAGAGGAGACATGCACAAAAAGTTAAATACTTTTATTTTTAAAATACTTTTTTATAAATTTTAAAAAGCAGGATGAGCTTGGCAGGTTTCTAAATTGTGTGGCAGAGAGAAATAAACAAAGAACTCTAAATGTCTGCTTCCCGCTTCAGCTTATAGAGGGACATCAGCTGTGAAGAGCTGGGTTCATGTATTTAAATAATTTTAGGTCAAAAATCCCATGTAAAAGTTTATACTCATAACTAAAATGTAATGATCCACTGCTTTATTCCATTTAAGTAATTGGTCTCATTGCGTTTTCTAGATGATTTAGCAAATCTAGACAAGCCGTTTGGCTCTGGATGGAACTAAAGGTTAAATCATTTCACCACCTAAGGAACGACTGCAGTGAAACCTGGACTGCTTTCATCATTAGGGCGCCAAGGTTCTGGCCCCAACAGTCAACAAGTGTTGTATACCTCAATAAGCAGTTGCTATACCGACGGCCTTTACTGCAGGGACATATTCAGCTCACTTTAAAAGAAGAAAATTAAAATCATGGTCATGGCTAAACAACAACAGGTGTCGTGATTCTTTTCCTGATCATCATATCCAGCTCCTGTGGGCCAGAACTGATTTCTAACCTGCTCTGTTGTTGAGTGCACAAGTTGGAAAACTGTATTCTAAATCCGCCCCTGCCCCCAGCTACACAAAGTTGTTTGCTATAAAGCAGATTTTGGGGTTTACGTTCATACCTACCATGATGGAAACAGAAAGATCTGATGCTGGTGCTTTCTTAGCATCCGGGTTTGAGTTCAGCTAATGTGATTAGATGATCAATCTTCATGTGGTTTAACCTGAGCTGGAATAAAAATGTCTTCCTGTTGCTCACTGTTCAAGCCCAGACATTTGATTGCTTTGAGTGAGTACTGGACTGAATCTTTTACCCACTTATAATTCTGCACTGAATACCTTTTGGTGACGTGAATACTTATTAAGAGGCCAAAACAGCAGCAATATGATAATTCTAACATGTTTTTATTCAACAAGAAACTAAATGAAAAGGATGCTAAGAGCTGCAGTGATCAAGGCTAACCCTTTCACCTTTTTATAACCATTCCCCTGTAATTTTATTTCCCTTCTTCCATTGTATAAAACATGTGCTCAGACAGATCAGGACTCGTCCTCCAGAGTACTATGTTCCCTTTATTGTGTGCAGTGAGTTGAGAGAGTCCTTGTACAGCCGAGCTTTAAGTCCTCTATAAAATCTCAACAGACACAAGTATCTTGAGCTCTCCCACAAACCAACACGCAGTTTTTCTTTTCTTTAACTCTGCATCAGAAAAGCAGCAAGCTTTTAACAATTTGAAGGAATTCTGGAGCTCCAAACACTCTTTTGCAGAAAAAAAAAAACCCTTCTAGTCCTTTAAAATAAACCAAAGAATGTCAGTCTCTGCACATTTTGTGGAGAGCTGACCTTTAGATGGAGGCAGCTTTGGTCTTTTCACTCCGTAATAATCTAAACGATGCTGATGCGAGCTGCAGATTGACTGTCGCGAGATGTGCATTAATGACACAGAGCTGGGCTAATTTGGATTCTGAACCCATTTCTGTTTTTAAAAGAGGGGCTTTTTTGTTGGCTGTGGGAGATGCTCACCCCCTGAACTGACAGCAACCAAAAGCCTCTTAAAAAAAAAACATCTATCTGCACTTATCCACAGGCATCGATTTGTCACCGCTACGTTGAAGGAATCACTAGCAGAGAGGAGCTGAGTGCAAAGTTTATGTGACCCAAAGTTTAAACGATGAAAAAAAAAAAAAATGACACAGACCTTCCATGATTAAAGAAGCAAATCTGTGATCTCATTTAGAATGACTGCAGGTGAGAGGGGGAAATCTGCACGAGTTCCAGTGATGGAGTATTTAACTTTATTTGCTGTCGTTCTCAGCAGAATTAACCTGAGGCTGTTTTAACATTCATGCCTAGCAGGTGTCTGCTCAAAAACATCCACCGGCACCAGACCTTGACAGAGTAAGCATCGGTTTACATGGACGGGAACATCAGCGTTGATGCTTGATGACACAACAGGAAGGGGAAGGCAAGCGTTTATAAACATGAGGCAGAGGGAAAACGTTTAAGCTGATAGATGTCGTGAAAGTCCTGGTGAATTAAAGCATCTCCGCGCTGAAGGAATGAAAAGATTATCGTGTTTTAATGACTGCAGAGATAACATTTCCAGTTAGTATGTGCCACCCGTCTTCATGTTGTGAAATCAAACTAGCATTAGAACTGTATGTGATGACTATAATATTTTATTGATTGTCCATGATGTGCAGCTCTACATTTTGAATTCATGTTTGCAAGGAAGACTTTCCGTCTTTTTGCCCCCTGATCCTTATCTCAAATATGTAAAGCTAGCAATTAATATTCATCTCTTATTAACTGATATTAATAAGGCTTATATTGTGATAAATTTTTTCAGCTGCAGGTTTAGACTGATGTGCAGTAGATGAGCAGTCTGTTTAAACCCCTGTCACAGCATCCAAGCTCAAACTAAACTGTGCAGCCAAACCATTTTGTTTTCTTCTGTAGTTTATCTGCAGACTTGCTTAGTTTCAGTTCAGTTTAGTTCTTAATTAGAGTTACTTTTAGGAGTTAATTAAATCATAGATGACTGTTATTCAGCTAAATAACCAGAGTTCTTTAGTTTAAGTCAAGAATACATTTTTAGTTTTTGTTTAGGATCTTCTGGTGAAAAATAGGATTGTTGGTCATTTTAATTATGTCAATTGTCAAAGTCCCGCTCCAGCTGTAAAATAATAGCCTGGGTGCCATTCCGAACTTAGTCCCGCCCACAACGTTTGAGTTCGGGAAGTTCAGTCTGGCATTGCTCAATATTAGCGCGAGTATGGTGGCACAAAATCTGGCGGGCCATTAAAATTGTCAGGGCGGGCTTTATACGATGATGGACAGATGATCAACAGTAAAGTAATCAACCACGTCTCCAAAGCGCGCTTGGGTGACAACAACAATGGCTACCGCTGGAGAGTTGAGGTGTGTAGATTCTGCTATTAGGTCTGTTCTAGAAGATATCGACAGCAAATTAATTTTAAAAGAGGAACAGAGAAACGCGATCAAGTCTCATCTTCTTATTCTAGGCGTGCAACTGCACGCTTTGATTTTTGTTGACAACAACTATGCGTCGCTTAAAAAACGTCACGCACGCCTTTACTCTTATTGGTTGTAGGTCTATCCAATTGAGTGCAGAGGCTTTTTTTTCCTGGTTCGTTCGAAACACGCCCCATAATCACAGCTCTATGGAGCAGTGTCAGACTCATATTCTGACTAGAATTGAGTAGGACTACGTCAGGCTAGTAAAAAAATCCCCAACCACCACACTTTCATCACCATGTTTTACTGGTGGTTTTATGTTATTTTCCTTCAATGTAGTGTTGAATGGCCTCCCAGTTCTACTTTTGTCTGGTTAGTCCACAAAATATTTTGGTTACATCTTTGAAATCATCTGTTTTTTGTTTTGTTTTTTGGTCTGGTTTTGGGTTTTTCTGGGTTTAGCAGAGGTTTTAGTATTTGTTTCTCTCCTTTTTTATTGTTGAATCAAGAACCCTGACTTACCTTAACTGAGGCAAGATCCTCTGTGACCCCTGGAAGTGTTTTGATGGTTCTGTGACACCTGACTACTGCTCTATTTGTGGATAACAAGGTTCACCCCAAAGTGTCCATGTCATGGATAGCTTCAGTTATGGTTTTTGTCACCTAAGGTCCTCTTTCCTACTTCATGCTGTCAGACAGGTTCTGCTAAAGCAATGCCTTGGTTCTCCAGGTATGGCAATAACCAGGCCTGGGTATGGCTGGTGGCCATGGGCTGAGGATTTTAATACACCTGGTGAATTAGTTTGTTAGTGGCCAAACAAACAGTATCAGTCATTTCCAAAAAATGCTGAGTTGGGTGAAAGAGCAATAAAACAGTCATAACATTTTATATCCTCAGGTTATATTTATTGATATTAATTTTAAGCTCTTAAAAACAGCAAATAGCTACCGTAACTAATAACAATGTTGATTTAATATTTATGCCCACAGTTCAACTTTAAGTGTAGTACATATAGTATGGAATGGAATAGAATAGAATAGGTTAGAATGGGTTAGAATAGAATAGGTCAGAATGGGTTAGAATAGAATAGGTCAGAATGGGTTAGAATAAAATAGGTCAGAATGGGTTAGAATAGAATAGGTCAGAATGGGTTAGAATAGAATAGGTTAGAATGGGTTAGAATAGGTTAGAATGGGTTAGAATAGAATAGAATGGGATAGAATAGAATAGAATGGGATAGAATAGAATGGAATGGGATAGAATAGAATGGGATAGAATAGAATTGAATAGAATGGAATGGAATGGTTAGAATCGAATGGAATGGGTTAGAATATAATGGAATTGAATGGGTTAGAATAGAATAGGTTAGAATGGGTTAGAATAGAATAGGTTAGAATGGGTTAGAATAGAATAGAATAGAATGGGATAGAATAGAATGGGATAGAATAGAATTGAATGGAATGAAATGGGTTAGAATACAATAGAATAGAATGGAATAGAATGGGTTAGAATAGAATTGAATGGGTTAGAATGGAATGGAATGGGTTAGAATAGAATGGAATGGAATGGGTTAGAATGGAATGGAATGGAATGGGTTAGAATAGAATAGAATGGAATGTAATGGGTTAGAATAGAATAGAATGGAATGAAATGGGTTAGAATAGAATGGAATGGAATGGGTTAGAATAGAATAGAATGGAATGTAATGGGTTAGAATAGAATAGAATGGAATGAAATGGGTTAGAATAGAATGGAATGGAATGGGTTAGAATAGAATAGAATGGAATGTAATGGGTTAGAATAGAATAGAATGGAATGAAATGGGTTAGAATAGAATGGAATGGTTTAGAATAGAATGGGATAGAATAGGATGAAATGGGATAGAATAGAATGGAATAGAATGAAATGGGTTAGAATAGAATGGAATAGAACGGAATGGGTTAGAATAGAATGGAATAGAACGGAATGGGTTAGAATAGAATGGAATGGAATGAAATGGGTTAGAATAGAATGGAATGGGTTAGAATAGAATAGAATGAAATGAAATGGGTTAGAATAGAATAGAATGGAATGGTTTAGAATAGAATGAGATAGAATAGAATGGAATAGAATGGAATAGAATGAAATGGGTTAGTATAGAATGAAATGGGATAAAATAGAATGGAATAGAATGAAATGGGTTAGAATAGAATGAAATGGGATAGAATGAAATGGGTTAGTATAGAATGAAATGGGATAAAATAGAATGGAATAGAATGAAATGGGTTAGAATAGAATGGGATAGAATAGAATAGAATAATAGAATAGAATGGGTTAGAATAGTACACACACAATTTACATTGCCTGTTTGGAGCAGTGATGTTTATTGTCTAACAGCTGCTGGTAGGAAGGATCAGTGATGATGCTCTTTAGTGCATCTGAGGTAGAAAGTCTGCAGTAGCCCCACACATATGGTAATGTGTGCTAAATATTGTCCAACAATGATCCTTCTGCCCCCCCACCAAATGCACTGGATCAACTGGAATACTAGCTTTTTCTTATTTTTTACAAATTCTAACCAAAGTGAAATAGAATGGAACAAATGCCCCCAGGGCTCTTGGTAAAACATGTTCAATTCTTGGTCCACCATTGTGATTTTTCTTTTGTTTCTCCATTTCTCCTCCCTTTGCAGATGGAGTCTGGTGGGACGGTCCTGAGCACCAACTGGGGCGACGTGGGGACGAGGAAGGTGGATGTGAAGCCTCCAGATGACGTAGAGTTCAAGAAGTACTGACCGTCTCCCTATGTCCCTCTGTCTTCATCCCATCCTTGCATTTTTTTTAAAAATATGGTCTGTCTTCACATTTACCCACCTGAGCCCCTTTGGGATCCCTGGTTGCCTGGCGACCTGCTCAGCGGTCAGCTTCTTAGGGAGGCACTACCACTCCACTGAAACAACAAGGCCCTGTATGCTGTCGGACGACTTTAAATGATCTGTTGAAAGGATTGATTCGCTCCGTTTGGGTTTTCTTAAGGTTGACGAACTGCAAAAGGGAAACAAGTGTTTGCTAGACCTGAATTACATCGACTCAGCCTTCAGATGTTTTTTATTTAAACCAGCCTCAGCCAATCGTTTCAAAGCCTTTTTTTCTTTTTATAATTTACCATTTTCAGCATAATGTAAAAATGTAAAATCGCATAATAAGTGATCTAACTATAAATGAATGTTTTTTTTCCCCCCTCTCTGTAAAGAACCTGCACCGACGACCGTCTTGACTTTTCTGCCGATGGCTCAACTCCTGTCGCTCCGTCAGTCTGACTCAAGCTTCGCTGTAAATAAAAGATTTCTTGTTTTGTCTCTAAATCAGTTTCCTGTATTGTTTCGGCTGGTTTTGTCTGGAATCAGATGGAAAGTGTCTGAATGTTTCACTCTGACCCAAAGATGGCAGAACGCTGTGACGGGATTGGAGGGAGCATGTGCTGTGATTATGTGCCAGCAGCGGTTGAAATGTGGTATTACTGATATGAGAGCAGGCGGCTGAGATACGGCTGACACCTTGAGGACAGGGTTTACTTATTGCAGTGAGATTGGTATCGTGAAGGAAGAGCCCCCCCCACCCACCTCCAGGGTATGTTGGCCAAGGACGAGGATCCAGCCGAAGATGAGGGAAGCGTTCTTTCCCACCTCATACTGTAGATGCTGCAGCTGTAACTGTGTGTGGGGGGGGGTGTCCTACCAGAGCAGGGGAGCATTAATATGGATCAGCCTTCCTAACCACATCATCAAGCCTCTCACACAGAGTTAAGTGTTAAATTCATCACACATCGTTTCATCTCTCCTGATGATCAAACAGCCATTTGTGACTCTGGATGGAACTCTTAGCTCTGTGACACTTTACTTTTTTCCCATCTCACACACACACACACTCACTCCACCAGTATCCTTCACACAAACACGCCGCCCCCATCCTTACCCCCTACCCCTGCCCGAGGCGGCTCTGCGACATCAAAAGGAGCTAAGCGCTTTGCATCGTGGGTAAGATCTGGGAGCGTGACGGCTGCAGAGTCTTTAGTCTCATTAAAGAGTTCTAGATCCTTGACTTGCACATTAAAAGAACTCTGGAAAACTTTCGGCTCGGGCCTTTTGGAGCGGCGGCCGGATGAGAGGAAGAAACGGGGCGTCGCCGACCGAACCCCGACGACAGAAGCCAGACGAATCATCACATAACATATATTCTTTTGATCCGTAACGGAATGAAGAGGCCTGAAACTTAAAAGCTTACTTTCTTGATATTGCACCTTGAGAAGTTTTGAAAGAAGATAAAATATTTAAATGAAAACTGAAGAAAGATACAGCACATTGTTTTATTAAAAGCAACTTTGAAGACAGAGTTAAAACAGATGGAAAGTAAGCAGATGTTTACGGCGCCTTGCTGAGGAACTCATACCGTCCTCATGGACCTTTTTTACATGTGGTCCCGTTACAACCTTTTTATTTGGGTTCGTGTGAAAGGAAAAGAAATCACAACTTTGAGGTAAACCATGCTTTTAATAAGATGTCCATATTTAATACCCCTAATTAACAAAACATTCCGGCTGCCTTTGAATATACCCAACAAGGTGGAGGTTGTATCATGCTGTGGGGACACTGCAAGTACCAACATAAAACCTATGAATATGTCTGAACTTTAGGGTCATTTAATCTCAACCTGTCATTAGATTGAAGCAAGGTAAGTACAATAATTACAAAGCATGACATTGCAATATTTTTCTCATGATTGTCTGATTGTGCCATATTTAACTGAATGCACTCTGGAAGCCTACGACACACTGAGTCTGGTTCTGCTGGAGGTTTCTTTCTGTTAAAAGTGAGTTTTTCCTCTCCACTGTCACTACAATTCAATTCAGTTTATTTATATAGCGCCAATTCACAACACATGTCATCTCAAGGCATTTTACAGATTCACTTTATTGATTCAAAGTTTTCCATCTAAGGAAAACCAGTTGATTGCATCGACTCAAGCAATCACACAAGCATGCTTGGTGCGAGGGATTGCCTTCCAGTCAATAAGTCGATGCAATCAAATGGTTTTGTTTAGAACATTTTGAATCAATTTGACTGTATGATCTTTTTGAATTGTAAAGTGCCTTGAAATGACATGTTTTGTGAATAATTATTAATTTGCCTAAACATTTGATTTTTAAGCAGAAGCACCTGAGATGTTATTGCTAACCAAATATAGCGTCATGTTATTGGGTCATCCTGCTCTCAAATGTTTGCTGCCTGTAACGAGTTTCTCCCAGTATAGCCCTGTTTTCCCCCCATCTCACAGCATGATGCAGCCACCACCCTACCTTAGGAGACTTCTAAAAGTCCGTTTACTCTTTAAAGTCAGTTAATCTTTCCAAAATAAAAAATCATCATATGGGTTCATCATACTAGTTTGTCATATTAAAATCCCAATAAATGCGTTGAACCCTCTGAGTTTTGAAAAAACGTTTCACATCTCCAGATGTATGAATCCTCCTGGAAGGCCTAGTAAAGCTACTGACCTCTGCAGTTCTTTCGAGATATTTATGAACACAATTTTAGACGACATAAGGACAGAAATTACTCATCATATCTAAACAATGGAAGGTTTTTTTATGCTCATGGTTACATGAAGGATTGTCAGCATCTCTGCTTTCCCAACACCATGTTGTGCATTGAATGCTGGTGGATCTTTCAGGATAAAAACATTTGCAGCCTCTGTACAGCCTTTTATTGTCTAAATCAGCTTTTTTATAGATGTGAGGTTTATAATCACAGCAGCAGTTCTTTTTGGTACAAATCTGCTCAAACTCAGTATCCTACAAGTAAAGTTATCAACTCCTCCTTTTTCTTTTAAACTTTTTCCTTCATCTCGCCTCCCTTTCAACCCCATGCCGTCTCAGATGAGTTTGGGGTTTTCTCACACCAGCCCTAAGATGCGCGCCACCCACCATTTACAGGGCATGATAACCCTGCAGGCCACCCTGCAGCCTCTGAAGTGGTACGGCCATGGATGGTAGCCCCCGAGCGGTTCACAGATCCTTTGGCAGTGGGTGTAACCCCTACGGCAATCGTTGCAGCATATGCCCTGGTGGTCCAGCATGGGGTCGATATCCGTGGTGCCCTGCTCGCCCTCCAGTCCTCGCTGCAGGGATGGAGAGAGGAAATCAGTCAGACTGAGTGACTCGATTCCTAGCGGGCATGTTTAGCCATGAATAAGATCTTATTTCTGCCCTGTTGGATATGGATTTTCAGCTGGGAGGACTGGAAGTGGGTTTTTCCAGTTGGTTTTCCTGTACAATCCTGCCTGGAATTGACAGGGTGAAGATGAGGGGAGGCTTCAGTCTGAGCGGCTAGAAGGGAGGGGGAGAGGATGTGTCTGTTTGAGACTGTTTAGCAGGGCAGAGGGGCCACAGAAGGAGGGAGGGGGGGTTATTCATACAGCCTCATTCTTGAAAAGAAAGCTTTAGACAGCCGCGTAGGGGAAATGCATACACTCATTTGCTGTGACGGGCCGGGCCCCTCCGCCATGACCCCAGCATCTGCTGCGGCTCCTGCAGCTGTGAGAAGTTCTCCTCAGGAAAAGGCCTTCTCAGGTAGCCGCTTCTATCCGACCAGACAGGCCGGAACGCTCTGGCCGGATGTAAACACTGCAGAGGAAGAAGGGAAGTGTGAGTCTGTCTGACTCACCTGATAGGGGTTCTCTGGGTTGAACTCAGCCTCCACGTCCTCATAGTCCTCCGTAGGAGTTGCCTGGCGGCGCTGGCGGGCGATGGCTCTGCTCCTCTGGCCTCCTGCACGCATTACAGTGAAATCACATCACAGATGTTGGAGCGGAGGGGCGCTCATCGGGTACGGCTCTTTGCTGCTGAGCTGCTTCTCAGGCAGCAGTTTTGAAATCTTCAGATTGAGGCGAATAAAATGTTGTTGTTTTTTATAACCTTTGACCTCTCTGCATACTACACTCCTCTCATCAGCTGTACACCAAACAGCTGGGATGTTAAATAGAAAATTGAGACAGTTGGCCCAATTTTATCGTTTTTATCCACTTGTTTGATTGCACAAAAATCTTCCCCTTGTCGGATCTGAAATCGTTACAGATAGCAGCGTGCTTACTGGGTGAGTATGTGGGACGGAGCCAGAAGATTGGCAGGTCTCCACACAGGTCCATGATCTTGCTGCTGAGGAAGGAGGGGTCGGGCAGAGGGGGGCCTGCAGCCACCAGGATCAGATCGTCATCGACTTTGGCGGGCATCACCTCATCGTTCTGCCGAATAAAAATAAAGAGGAACCACATTCACAGTCAAAGCTTAAAGATAATACATTAAACCTGCTATAGGCGTAACATCATATGATATTAGAAATAAGTTTGATCTAAATCATATCTTAGAGCTTCAATTGAGTCTATATCAAATCAATCAATTTCTTTAATGTCAACTAAAATTTGCATTTGTTATTGAGATTTGAGTTTCAGTACAAACTAGTGTTGCACCGATACCAGTATCGGGCGGGGCCGCGATCCAAGACTAAAATTGTGATATCTTTATCTAGCCTCGTGAGACCATCCTGATTTTCGCGAGCTTTCAAGGTTTCACTCGCAGATCAGTCTGGCTACTTTCCGTTAAAGAAAATTTGGAGCCGTTCACCAAATGAACGTCCAATCAGCGTTGGCTTTGAGGCGGGTTAAGGTGTGACGCAACGAGAAGCGCGACAGTTCAGTCTAAAGAGCATGGCGGCTTCAGCCGATGAAACTAGCGTTAGCGTGGCTATCGAGCAAGTTTTATCGGAATTACAGAGTATTTCTTCACTGAAAGAAGAGCAAAACACTGCTCTGGAGTCTAACGAGCCTTTACCTGCAGCAGCAAGAGTAGCCTGGCTTGTGGTTGTGTTTTCGTCGTCGCTCTGTTAGTACGTCATATGCTTCGTTGATCTGATTGGTTTATTTGGCCCATCTATCACCAACATAGGCCAATCAGCTAACCAGTATTTTCGCTCCTTCCCAAAATTACTTCAACGGAAGGTTTCCAGATGGATATGCGGAGCAAATCCATTTCGCCGAGTCAGGTTAATCTTTATCGGCGAGTACCAACAAATAGGACACCGATAGCATTTTGAGAGCCAAAATTTTATTCAGCTATTGTCACCCATTCCAGGAAGGCAATGAAACGTTCCCCTGGATTCACTTTTTATTACCGGTAGTCTTTTTCCTGCTTCACAAAGGTAGGCAGGCGCTTGACAAAGCCATGATGGCAAATATTTTACATCTAAGTAGTATGCAGTTCTTCATGTATATATATATACACACACATATCAATTGCAGATGGTATCAATATCAGGGCCAAAAATGGCATTGGTGCAACACTAGTACAAACCGTTGATCGGGGAACTGAGGCCATGCGTGCCACAGAACACTGCTTTTGTTGCGTTCTTATGGCTGCCAAGGGGCCCGCCATGAGCCGCTTCCCTTATAGCACTGCCTTTTAAATATATATTTCTATAGACTTTCTATATACTTATATTTCTAAGTCTTAAATAATTTAAGATTGGGAAATTAATATAAATAGCATTATAATTTAAAAAAAATCTTTTGAACAGAGAAGAAACCAAGGAAATCTGTATGCACTGCTCTGAATGGACTGAAGCTTCTGAAGATTTCCATCCAGCCTGAAGGAGATGAGGATGTTTTTTTAAGAATTGGTGAAGATAAGTGATGGAGCAAGGCTTGCAATATTTTCAACATGAAGGCGGCTTAATGTTGAAGTTGGAAATAGGGAGTTAAACTCGACACCAAGGCTGGTGACTGAAAAGAAATATCCTGACCAGAGAAACTGATTATGACTATGAGGGGTGAGTGAAGCTGATGGTAGGTACAGATTAAAATTGCTTCATTATTTTTTAAGTTGTTTAGCTGCAGGAATTAATGAGTCATCTGTGCTTTTATCTTGTCCATGTACAATGATGGTAGGGGTACCTTGGATGATACAGCAGAATAAGGGCAAGAGTCCATTTTAATGTAAAGTGTCATCTGCATAGAAATGGAAAGACACTCCATAGCAACTGATCCAATGGTCTAGAACAGGGGTGTCAAACTCATTTTCAATGAGGGCCACATCAGCGTAATTGCTGTCCTTAAAGGGCCAGATGTAACTTATAAATGTAACTAAATGTAATTGAATGTAATGTAAAATAAATGTAACGACTCCTTAATGTTAAATAACTCATTATTTATTATAACTTATTCAAGTGACAATTACAGTTGCATAGAAAACATAAGCTTGCTTGTTGCTCTAACACACACGTGTCACACAGCCGCTTCCTACCTAGTCCTCCTCATCGGTCTCTCCCCCTCCGCCCGAATCACTATCATCGATATTTTGAAGCGTTTCTAAAGCCTGTTTCGCTGTTAGGTTTTTTCTGAACGCCACTTTTTCCATATTAGCCAAAAAGTTCTAGGTAGAATGTTGGTTGCTAGGCAACGAAATTTACAATGCAACTAATAGAGCCGTCAAAATGGCGGTTGTGGGGGATCGAGGTAGAATTAACCATATTTATTTTTTACGTTTTAATTGTATAAAAAAAAAAAAAAGTGAAAATGAAGGAAATATAGAAACTGGAAAAGTCAGTTAACATGAGCAACATAATTTTAATTTTAAATATAGTTCTTTCCCTTTAAAATCTCAGAAGCATCAAAATGACGGCTGTGGGAGTTCTAGCGGGCCACATAAAAGGACATGGCGGGCCACATCTGGCCCGCGGGCCTTGAGTTTGACACATGTGGTCTAGAAGAAGCATGTAGATAGAGAGTGGGACCAAAAGCAGAACCTTGAGGAGTGCCTCATGTTACAGAGCAATTCCTGGATTCAGTGGAGATTTATTCTGTCCGGGTCGTTTAATATGAACCTTCAGAGTGACTGCTGTATATAAAATCATGTTCAGTTACAACTTTTTTCAGAACCTTCAAAAGGAAGGAGAGGACGAGTTGGAAGTTCTCCAATGTTGTCCATTTCCTCAATGTTTTCAAGACAAGGCCTTTCACCTAAGCTGACAGATCAGCAAAGGAGAGCACTGCTCTGAATAGTTCCTGCAGCTCAGGTAATCTGTCGGTTTATGCTTCATCTTCCAGCAGGATAATTATCCTAAACAGACCTATGAAGCAGCCTTTTTACAGACTGTTTTTTATTTTATTTTTATTTTAGGTAAATGTGCTGATAGAAATGCAAACCCAACTTCACCTACTTTCATATCCGCATAAATTCCCCTCCACTTCACATTAAAAACAGATTTGTTTTGATTTAAAAAACATCCCTTAGCAGAATGAGTAAAAGTTAGGGTGTATCACTAGTTTTTGGAGGCATCATCAAATCAGACACAAGAAAACATCACTACAACAAAACAACAGTTTCCTTCTGGGCTTTCTGGGTCTTGTCACTGCCCTTTAAATAACCCACTCTATGTGCATCCTGTCCAAGTCTAATCCTCATTATTGGTGCCCCTTTAATGCTCTTTTTAGGATTATAAAATCATGCCTGAAGGCACTCAAGGCTGCCTGTATGTAGATTGTTCTGTGCACTGACATTTAGTTGCATACACATGATGTCAAGTCTTGTCAGCATCTGATGGGAAAAGGTTTGACGTCCTGAACGGACGTGAGTCTGCTTAAAAAGCAGGCGAGGTTTCTCTGCATAAACAAATGCGTTCAGTATCCACAGCCTGCAGGGAGAAGGGGAACTCTGTTGGGATGATCTTGCCCACAGGCTGAGCTGCACCAGCCAAAGTCACGTTCAGGAACCTTTCAGAAATGACTTTTTCTTTCCCAGCTCCAAATAATTTGCTGGAGGGCCAAATAAAAGCAGGGGGGGGCTCTTCTTCACTGCCTGTCTGACTGATAAGAGTTTATCTGACCCACTCCCACTGGATCAAGAAGGGTTTGTGTGCGCCGTGTGCGCTTATCTAACCCATATATGCCATCATTCTAAATTATAGCAAATGACCAGCCTGCAGCAACCATTATAACAACATCTCCCTGTCTCCAAACACACAGAGGCTCACACACCCTGACGGCGTCACATACACAAGCAGGGCGCCAAAACGATCATTTATGAGGCAATAACACAAACCCACACACGAGCACAAATGTGAAATAAATGATCGTTTATGAGGCAGACAGAGGCAATAAGAGCACTCTTGCGTGATAATTAATTGTGTTGTTTTTTGGTGTACAGATGGGGGTGTTTATGCACGTATACGTTGAGGCAGTTGTGCTGATGTGGATTTATGTGGATGTGAGGCTTACCCAGAACTAAATGATTTTAATTATCACACAGCCTCAATTGAGCAATCACACGCTGTGGTGTGTTTTGCGATAACAATCCTCACACACGCCGTACATGCTCCTACTGTGTGTGATGAGCATATGTGTGTGTTGGCCTACCACGCCGTCACAAGTCACCTGTGTGGTCCTGATAGGTCACTTGCTCCAATTTCTGAGTACGCATTAGCAATAATTAAAGCGGCAGCTGTTTAAAGCGCTGATGTTAAGCATAGAGAATTAGTTTTCATAAATACCTGTGAGGAGCTTTAGATTTTTGTAATTAGGACCGTGCAACACGGGCTGCATTTATTAATCCCTTAAACTTCAATAACTCTTCATGTAAAGACAAATTAAGATTTTAAAATGTCCTAGCTGACCAAACTGGCATTTATTATTAAGTAGGAAGTCGAGCTAATACTAACAAGATATTAACTTCATGTCCGTCTGTGTGGAAGGAGTTTTATTTCATTAATGTTGCCAGTAAAAAAAACATGTATTTTAAATGGAAAAATGAAAAAATAAATAAAAATACGCAAACCAAAAATTAATCTTTGAAAAAATTAGCTTTTGAGAGTTAATTTGATCTTTTCTTAGATGTATTTTTTTTCTAGATTATTTTTTGAATTGCATGCTTTTTATTTTATTAACTTTACATGTCACATTCTCTTCACTTCAAGTTAAATAATTAGACTATTCTTTTTATACAGCTTTCATGACATTTCCATTTCTTAAAGTGCAGCAGTGATCAAATGTAAACAGTGTAGGAGCAAAAACATGGTGCAAAAACCGCATTGATATTGAAGTTCGGAGCATTAAATATATATGGTGCAATTATGCAGCGTTGTCAGTGTGATGCATAGTCTGTGACATGATTTAGACTTTTCTCAACAGTTCAGCTGTACAGATGCTGTTAACGTCCATGAGTGAATTAATAACTATATTTTAGAAAAAACCAGAACAAACATTAAAAATGTAGCATGCTGCTATTATAATTAATTCCATATATAGTTGTTAAAAGTATAATTTAGTGCTTATATTTTCTGAGTTTGTATGTAATACTTGTTGCCCTCTTGTGTCAGTCTCCTTCCCCTACCTCCCTTTTGGGTTCAGGCTCCCATATATACACCTCCTGTTCAGCTACTGTTTGCTTGTTCCTCGTCATTTCCTGGCTCCTTATATGTATTTTCCCTGATGTCTCCTATATTTTGGTTTTGTGTATTTGTTATTTTTGCCTCAGTTGCCACTTTTTTCATTGATTGAGGCCCCGTCCACACGAAGCCGAATCCTGGCCTAAACGCACAAATTTTTCACCAAACCAGCCTCTCATCCATACGAAGCCGGCGTTTCGGAGGTCTGTAAACGATCTTTTTTTTATTCAGCCTTCAGAGTGGGAAGATTTTGAAACGCTGTTTTTGCGTTTCCATCTTTAAGCTCTAACCGCATTTTTTTTCTTACACGCATGCGTCATAGCGTCGCCTCTAAACACGCATGCGCGACACAGTATCACAACAACAATGGCGCCGTACTGTGTTGAATTGTTGCTGCTCATGCTACTCACCCTGCTGTCGGGCTTACAACAGAATCTTCTTCTTCTGGAATATCTCCAGGAAGAACAGAGCAATATCGACGACATAGTTCAGCACCTGAATTTGACTGAACCACGAAAATGGACCCGAAGGGCAACCATGTATAAATATTAGTACGCATGCCCAACATTTCGTTGCCTATTTTTGCTTTGGAACGACAGCGCCACTTACAGGCCTGGCATACATTTTGCAGCGTTTTCATGCATTCGTGTGGACGATCACATTTATTTTAAGTCTCCGTCTTTACGACAGACGTTCTGGAAAATATTAGCTTTCGTGTTCGTTTTGACTTCGTGTGGACGGGGCCTAAAACTGCAAGATACCACTCTAGCTTCAGTCTCTGCTTTTGGGTCCTGAAAAACCTCAACACAACCTGATAGTTTTTTTTCCTTTTCCTCATAGCGTTTAGGATTTTAAAATAAAAAACTAACATCTAAATATGTTGTAGATTGCATGCAATTTTTTTTTTCAGTTTGACAGAATGAAATATCCAGAGACTTTTAGTCCAAAAAACACTTTCATAAGACGTAGCAATCAGTGTCTTACTCTTTTTTTTTTTTTTTTTTGCCCCCTCCAACCTAGTTTGCATCTTTTTGCTTCCCTCGGCTCATGACCAACCTTAACATGAGGATGAGAAAATTAGCTCTCTCTGTTAAGGTTAGCTGTCGTGTTTTTGGACATCTCAGACTGCTGTAAAGCGACAAGCTACATCAAGTTTTTAGAAGGGCAGTCTGCACTGAGCATCGATGATCCTGTACATTGACCAAAAAAATTATGGTATTTATTTTAAATAATGTTGTTTTAATGGAAAAAATGTAAAATAAAACCAGTTTGGTGCCCTGCAAATACTCCTGTGAACCCAATGATTTTGGCTCCTGCTGTAAAAGTCTGGACACCTTGACTGTAGAGGGAACGTTGGGTTCCAAACCTACCCTACAGTCAATGCAAAATACTTTTAACATTTCTCTTTTGGTTAAAGTAGTTCTAACCAAAGTAGGATTGATATTTACGTAGAAGTATTCCAGGCAGTGTTTTCCATCTTTTTAACTGTGGCTGATGAAAATTTAGCATATAGATGAAACAGATCAAGTAGAACCGACTAAATATCCCCAAAAGATGGCTTATTATTTCTGCAAGATGGATAAAAGGTGTTGGTTACAAATCATAAGTCGCAGACATGTGCTTCTTTGCAATACAAGCAAAACTGGCCACCCTGCTGTAGATGATGCATTACCTGTTTGTGATGAAGTTTCTAGCTCACTGCAGGGATTCAGAGCAAACGCACACATAAAGAATGTCATCTCACCAGTTCCAATGTCTTTGAGTCCTTGTTCAGAGGCTCCACATCAGGGAGCTGAGCTTTAACCTGGGTCCTGATGTAGCACTTGTCTCCTCCTGCAAACCGTAACCCTGTGATTCCCTGCAAAGAGAAGAAAACATAGGTTTTAAATTCACCAACCTTTTATTTATATCTTTTCACCTCACCTGTAATGACAGACTTTGGATCAGATGCATGTGTGCACAGATTTAGATGAAGAGGATCAAAGGGACACTTTGATTAAAGGTCAGATTTTTAATATTCAAAGGCTTCAGCTGCTGCTTCACTTCTCTGATTAGCCTGATTGGGGCTCTTTAATTAAAGGTCAAAAACCACCAGTCTGAATGTGCTGGAAATCAGAGGGACGATGCATCTTGACACTGATTTTTCCCGAGGGAATAAGATGTCTAATTGTTCTTCGTTTCTCTACTGGGTTCAATGAGCCGACCCCCCCAAAGGGGCCTTCGTTGCTTTAACCAGTCTCAGCGATCCCTACGACACACCCAACAGCCTTGTGATGTTTTCCAATCACTTCTGCTCAAACTCACAATCTCAAAGTCGTGGACCTCCAGCGCCTCGTCCGCCCCGCTGCCTGTGCTGAACCTCTCCATGTTGTTGGCCGAGTCGATCTCCATCGAACCCTCCTCCACTTTTCCGTTGATGCTCATGGTGTAGTGGACATTGTAGACCTGTAGAAAATACACACATACTTATACAATTACCTTAAAGATACAAAAAAAAACCACTGCGCGACTTTATTTATTAGGGTTTAATCTCACAGACGAGAATAAGTTAACTCATAACTGTATAGTGGACACTGAGATATTTATCAGCAGAGGTAGAAGGACAGGTTTAACTTTAGCAGAAAAAGGATCTTTCACTTTAAGTAGCTTTAACCTTCCCTTATAATGTCATGATCTGGCCCATTTGCTCTCACTTAATTAGTCATTCCTTTCACCTGTCGTTTTCCCTCTCTGCCTCAATTATAATTTATTCCTCTCACCTGTTTCCTCTTGGTTATATTCAGTTCAGCCTGAGCATTCAGGGCCAGATCATTACTTGTCTTTCTGTTAGTCTGTCCGTTCAGTTTTTAGCTTGGTTCATGTTCTGGATCCTGGCAGCCAGTCGAAAGAGGGTTTTTGTGTTTATCTTGTCTCCTGATCGTCCACTGTTCCTCCCCCGCGGAGTCCTCTGGGTTTTTGGCTCAATATGTGGAGAGGTTCAGTTTTTATCCAGTAAGCCTGGCTCCAGGGAGGAGACCAGTTTAAAGCCCTGCATCGAGTTCCGGTTCCACGTCCTGTCTCGGCTACCCTCTTCCACTGAGCCTGCCTGTCTGCACCTGATCCTGTGCGTGACCAACTGGTCATGCTTCTGGTCCCAGTCAGACTCTGAACCCTCCTGGGAGCCTGTGGATGCCTGGAAGTCTGGATTCTGCCACCTGTTTCTGTTCCTGCCTGATCTGGATCCTGATGGTTCTCTGTTCCTGTCTGTTCTGGATCCCTGACCAGGATCGGCTTCCAGCATGACCTCTGGGACTGCAGCACTTGGGGACATTCTTGGTCTGGACTGTTAAACCAGAGTGTCTGAGATTGGGCGGTGCCCCGCCCCCCGCCTGCAGTGTCCACGAGCCACAGCTCCACTTTAGTTTTTGTTTAATAAACCTTTTTGAACTTTCCTACTGACTGTCTCTCCTTGAATACTGGGTCTCTCTGTCCCTGGTTCATGACATATAACTGCTCCTCTATCATAAATGTTGTATCAGAACAGTCTGTTAAATTAGTCTAATATCTTTTAGACAGTTTTTAGTGGCTGCTTTGAGGAAAGCTGTTGTTGAAGGGGGGGGCATTAGAAGTCCTTAGAGTTTGCAGCAAACCACAAAGGGGAAAGAGCAAATATGTGGAAGAAGGTGAAAGCTAACACTCTGCTCCGCCCACAGCCACAGGCACTGGAAAAACCTGGGGATTCATAAGTGAGAGTTGGTATCAATCTAATTAATTTGCAGTGTTTCCAGTATTTCATACGACCAGTGGCCTTTTTTTTTTCTTTTTACTGAAGCTGGTACGTTGTGTCAAAGCTGGATAATTAGTATCTATGCCTGATCTTGGTAGCACTGTGACTGGATCCTATGTGTCTCTGTCACTAGTCAAGCTGTTATTGGAGGGTTGTTTTCTTTCCTCTGAGAAATGCAGCTAAGACTGGAGGAGAAATGTTTCCTCCTGCTTCTGCAATACCCCCCCCTCCTCGAACCAGTTTGTCTCATTAAGCTGACTTGTCAAATTAGAGGGAAAAGATATTTTTCAAATTATCATCTGTAATAAACCCAGCATGTAACCAGAGAACTGGAGCGTCACTTTCTTTATTATCTATGTAATAACTTCTCCAAATTCATATTGCTTTCATGTGACCAAATTGGAGTATTTCTGGGCCGAGTTCTGCTCCTATGGTTTAGGAATCGAGCAACTCTTCTGCCCTCAATATATGCTGTCCCTTACACGGACTGACTTGAACTTTTATTTTAACAAAGAGGAATTTTTTTATTTTAACAAAGACGAAGACAAGGACGTGCGTCAGAGTTTTTGGTCATAAAAACATGGCAGTGCTGCAAAAGATTTGAAACTATGATGGAGGGTCACTACTACAACAAGCAGGCATAGGTTCAATGGATGATTCAGATCGAGGCATATTCATGTGTCAGAATGGCCTAGTCAAAGCTCTAATCTAAATCGAATAGAGAGTCTGAGCTCAGACTTTAACATCAATGTCTGCAGGCTTCCAGTCTATCTCAGGGCAACAGAATCTATTCAGTTTTTATCCATAAAAGGCTTAGGAAATCCTGTATCAGTATCCTTTACCTTACGATGATGAACTGCTTTGAGTTGATTTTATACAGTATTAAAAATGTTCATTGAATTGTTTTATTGTAACCGAACAAGGTGTGGGAATATATAGGGATGTGGTCACTTTGAGAGGCTTTGTTTACACTCTTTCAGATTGGCATGTGAGGTATGAGGGTCCTGAAAGTGAACCCATCTCACCCAGATGCTTCTTTATGTGCTCTTAATCTCCTCTTGTCCAAAGCTTAGACTTTTCCTCTAATATCCCATTTTTTAAGGCAAACATTAAAACTTGGTTGAATCTATCTTTCCAACTCTCCTGTTTGGTGTAACCTGGTCTCTGCAGACCCCCTCTGTCTCTAGAAGTAGGAACTGCATTTTGCCGCTCACGTTTCCCCCTCTTGCTCCCGGAGCATCAGCCGGACCAGAGAGCGGGCCCCTCAGCACCATTCCTTTCCTCCTCATTGCACCCTTTCAGGATCCCATAGCACAACGGCTCCATTCACCAAACGTTGCCTCGCACTGTACCACGTAGGGGCGGGTGCTTGATTTACACTTCACTGTTTGCCTACTCCGCAAAAAATAAATCTGGGAAAAAAAATGATAATAAGAAAAACAAGCCTCCATCTGCTTTAGTCTGCCGGGATTTTTATTCAAACACAATGATGACTAAGGCCCTTTTCTTTCCTTCTTCATTTTCAACATATTCAACCAACACTACTTAAAACAACATTTTTTTTCAAAGAGAGAGCTGTTTGCTTTTTCACTTCAAAAAGACCTGTAGCAAAACGGATAGGTTTGGGGTGTTGGAGTTCTGTCAAACTGCTGCTAACTGATTATTCACGTCCTTCCTTTTTAATCTGCCCTCTATGGGAGCTGCTGTATCCAAAGTACACTTGGATACAATCCCGAAACAAAGACACAAGGCATAAAAGAGCCGGTGGCCTTTAATAATAATGAACAAGTTTGAATATGCATATAATAAAGCTTTTCTACATCAAATAAAGCAGAATATCTCCCCAGGGGGTTCCTTTCACTATCTTCTAACAGTCTCCTTACTGAAGTTCATCTCTTTGCAGCAGGCTCTGAACTGCTCCTACACAAAGAGGCAGTGTGAAATGTCCCCCTTACGTGTTTTTCATTGTTGTTCCAGAAGTAGAAAGCCCCGACGGCTCCCAGCAGAAGCAGAACGGCTCCGGTTACGAGCACAGCAATCCCGGCCTTCAGGAGGCGTCCGGTGGAGGCTGGTCTCAGAGACACGGTGGAGTGAGCCTAAACAGTTTTTACCACAACAACAGATAAATAAACACAAAGCTGCAGACTGGTTTTATGTTTGACTGAAGTTATAGTGCTTATCTTTTAGTTTTTGCCCTTGACTCATCCCCATGGATGCTCAGCAGGCAGCAGGTTTCTATGACTGCTTCTCATAGAAGGTGCACCCTATTGGACTAAAGCTACTCACCGGAGCCATGAACTGGTACGAGTCCTCTGGTTCCGCCGTTGCAATGGGTACTTTCTCTGAGCTCCCGGCCATGACTGGAGCCAAACAGACAAATACCTTTTCCAGCTCCAGTTCACCGACTCCCCCCTCTCTCTCCTTCTCTCTCACTTTCCCTCGAAAAAGGAAGGAGGAGGGAGAAGGGCACTTCTCAGATCTAACTTTACTTTTTAGCCCCAACTTAGCATTTTAAGCTCTTCTTACTTTTAATAAGAAAAGGTAAAGTTTAAGTTGTAACTTCAAGCTGATTATCAGCCAGAAAATTCACTAATGTGAGTCTAAGGTTTTATGCTTTCTTCCAGATAGTCATTAACCATTTTTCCCTTTGAAGATTCCATAGGCTGCTCATGCAACTTACATGAGGTTGATCCTGCGCTCATCCTCAGGATTTCATATCATTAGGCTTTATGACAACCTGAGCAGGGCCGACTTGGACCTGTTCAATAATTATGGTGATAGTGGAGGAGGGTGCCCCCCAAACCTTTCCTTTTTGCCCTTTTTTTCCCCAGAGACGTTTCTTTCTCAGGTCAAAGGTTGCCCCTGCAGAATGTTGCACGTTTGGCCATGTGCCAAATCTGTGCTTTTACTTCCCCACATCCCTACACCTTGTCCTACATCCACAGCATTTGGTGTTAATAAGAAATGCCCTGAATCTATGAATAATAATGGTGGAGGGGAAAAAAATCCGGAAGCAAACTGTGTTTTACAGAACTATTTAGCCCTAAACGTTGCTTTAAAAAAAATCTCTTTAGAGTCATCTAACAGTAAATGGAGTGTAACCATTTGTCTTATTTGATCCTAGTGAACAAACATCCTTAAGATCGTGGATGGATGAGGTTTTTGAACATCTGTGAAGCAGAATTAGGTTATACTGTAAATTAATATCTAACAGAGCACTAGATGTATAATCCCAATTTGAAAACAGGATAGCTGCAGACTTACTATGCTATGATCTAAACTGAGAGGCTAGAAAAATCAGGAGAGGAGCCACAAGGGGCCTGTTGTGACTTTAGTGGAGCTGCAGAGTACCGCTGCTTAGAAGATGGATAATCTGTTGACAGAACAACTGTTAGTTAGTCAATAAACATGGAAGTCTTTCAAAACAATAAAGTAATTGTAGAGAATTAGTCTTAAGAAGTCATCTTTTATATAGATTGCTAAAAGTTTTTATCTGTAAGACACGCTGAAAATATGTCATATAAAGTAAAATATGTTAAATAATAAAAGCCATGACGTCGAGACAGACGGAGTAAATCAAGTTACATTCAATGTCTTTATCATTAAAGCTACAGTGTGTAATAATTACAGGGATATACAGTCAGAAATGTAATATATTATACATAACTATGTTATTTATCATCATCTACGAGCTCAGCCTCTTAACCTTAATATTTGCGTTGCCTTAGAATTCTTTATTTATAATTACATAGGAGCGGGTCTCTCAGCCATGGAGGCAGACATCTTTGCGCTACGGCAGCGCAGAGCCAACAAACTAGCGATTGCGAGATCGCCCATTACGCTCGAAAGTAACTACGGCAAGTTGAGAGAGATGAACTGAGACGGTACTGAACAGTAGATGGCAGTATTAAAATTATCTATGTAAACAAACCTGATCACTGGAGAAGGTAGGTGATGCGGACGTTGTGGAAGACAATTTGTCCCGTAACGCTCGCCGTACTGTTGGGGGGGAGAAGCGGTGGGGGGGAGATGTTCATGTTGCTGCGGTCTGCAGTCTGGACGTTAGATGTTGCTAAAAATTACACACTGTAGCTTTAAAATGCAAAAATAAAACAAATTTAAAATGATAGGAGCTACAATGCTTCGATATATTATTTGCTTATATTGATAAAATTGATTACTTATTTGAAAACAATTATAGACTAGACTCGTTTTTATTAATAATTTGAAGAGCGCACATAGATGTGGCTGGATCACAAGAATGGAAATTGGTTCATTGATTAAACTATCAATCATTACACCCTTAGTTAGATTCACTGCCCAGTAGAATCCTAACATCAACACATTTGAAGAACCTTTAGACAAATTAAGAAGGAGATTAAAAGTCAGGTCATCTTGTTGCAGAAGAATGGCCAACATTCCCCTTAAACACTGTCCTTTGCAGAAAACCTTTCCAGAGAATCTCACAGCTGCAAAAAGTGGACCAATGAGAAATGGAGCCCTGTGGATTAAGTACAAAATGCCACTTATGTTCAAATGTGAGCTAAAGCAGGTGACTGAACACCTTGGCAATATGCTGCACAAGTGGTTTATATCAAAGCCCATTGATGCGGTTCACTGGTTCAAACCTTTGTCCAACTAAGGACCTTGAGAAACAACATATTCTCATTATCAGTTCGTATGAAATCGTACGAAAAGTTATGCACACTATTTCGTACGTTTTGGTCGTTTTTCTTCAAAAAACCAGATCAGTGCGCATGCGCTGGCAGACAGACAAAAAAAGCAGATCCGCGGACGGACGTAAAACTGGGAAAAACAGTGCAATAATCACTTCTTCATGTCTCTAACTACGCTGCTTGCTGTTTTATATCTTAGGGTTAGGGTCAGGGTTAGGGCTAATTGTATTTTAAAGTCTATGTTCTTGAATGGTGCGTAAAATGCGCATGCGCATACGACGAAAAAAACGTCCAAAACGTACGAAATTACGGTGCATAACTTTTCGTACGATTTCATACGAACACATAATGTGAGAAATGACATTCACAGATCAAGTTTTATCGAGCCTACGCTGTTTGGCTCAGAATCAGCATCACATGTCATCAAACACGTGGAAAGCTTTAAGATGCACGCATGAAAGATATGAAACTGTTAAATTATTAAATTACTTATGCATTGGGTCTGGATAGACTTTTTTTAAATTATTTGGAAAAACAATGAAACTATTTTCAGTTTGTCTTCACTCCATATTTCCATACTACTTTGTATTGGTTAATCCCATCAAAATCCCAATAAAAGCTACTGAAGTTTTTTGATTCTGAGTTCAAAACAAACAAAGAAAAGGTTTTAGGGGGTGTAAATACTTTGCAAGGAACTGTGTTCCCCCTGTGAAACCTTGCATCTGTCTCTTTGAGTGTTTCTAAGCAGAAAATGTGTTGTTTACAGATTTTATCCCCTTTTTTTAATCACCCAGGGTGTTAAAAACTCAAACAAATCCTCCAATTCTTCATGCAAATGAATGCAGCCAAGTCTGTAATAAAGAACAGAATCACCAAGGCGGGGTTTGGCTGACTTGTGTGAAATGGTGTGCGTGCATGTGGAGGGGAGGGGGGGTGATTTACTGAAAAGCTCCTGAGTCTGTTTTGGGCATCTCACCAGGAAAATCATGTATTCACCGAGGGGAAAAAAACTTAAGTGACCTTCCTCAGCGGGCTGCAAGGACGCAGACTCAGTCATGCTGCAATAACAGCGACGCCTGTTGGCTTCCGTTACACTAGCCTGATGGATAGTCCATCTTTGCAATAAACTCCAACACTCATGTTCACAAGAGTATCTCAAAGTTTATTTATTTTCAGAATATTGTGATATAAAAAAAACTGTTCAATGACACAATATTGCATTCAAATGATTTTATACACTGTTCCCAACATCATACGTTCTTCCTCTCCTGCTCTCTAACATGTTCTGGGGGCTTTTTAAATAGTAAGCATGCTTAGAGATCTGTATTTACACATATTTACTTTTTTTAATTCAATTATTGATTTTTTTCATAGAAAAATAAAATCTCTCCATATACATATGGATATGCATATGATACACTTCATGTCCGACAAACATCCCAAAGTGATTGACTGGACCTCAAATTTGTCCCCGCCCCCCCACTTAAAGACAAACATATAACAGCAGAGCCGACCCAAGGCATAAGCAAACTGTGCAGCTGCTCTGGGTTCCAAAGCCCACAGGGGTAGAAACAAGGAATAACACATCTTCAGTTATTGTGCAAAATAAAACTTGTGATCATATAAAATGCAGAAGAAAAGCTGAGCCTTCATAGTAATGTTTCAGTTACATGTATGATGCATTATTAGCCTTTCAATATGGCTGACATCAAACAGTTATTTGGGTCCCAAATGAAACTTTGCACAAGGCCCCGTTTAGTCTTGGACCGGCTCTGTTTAGCATAATAAGACGAGAAGACATCTCTCTCAGCTTCAAAGCATCATAAATAAAAACATCTGATCAGTCTGTACATTGCACTCAGAGTCTGTGGGGTTGTGCGTCGCCGTGTCCTAAACATCGTTGTTGGGACAGTGCGTTGGACTCGGGGTGTAAACCGGGATGGCCACGTCGCTGATCTCCTGCACCCTCACCGGTCTGGTTGGGGTAACCAGGACGTAATCGTATTCGCTGTGCAGGACCTTCTCGTAGACGCTCTGTAGCCCCACTGTTTTGGGGATGTGGGCCTGGTAGTAGTTGTCTCTGCGGTTGGGGTCTCGAGGCAGGGAAGCCGTCTTGGGCAGGCTGCTGAAGGAGGAGAGGGTCGGAGCTGGGGAGGGGGCAGCGTTGGCTCTGGTGGCCGTGGGGCTCCAGCATCGATCCGAATGGCCCAGGACTTTACACTCACTGGTGCACGCCCACAGAGCTGATGGAAGAACGAGGTTAGGTTAGATGTTTCTTACAGTGGTGCAGCTCATCTTTATCTTATCTGTTGTTGTTTTCTCTCCTTACCATTTTGTACACCCATGGGAGGAACTAAGCCCCCATCCTTCTTGAGGCCGGTGTCTCCGCTGACATCACTGTCACTGTCATTGAAGTCACTGTCCCCCTTGCCACTGTCTTTCCCACTGAAGGCTGGGTCTCTGGCTGAGATGGTGGTGTAAGAGTTGCCCTTCCAGATGGTGATGGGCCTCACCGCCTCCTTTCCATTCCCATATCCAGGCAGAGTGGAGTATCCCTGCAGGAGAGAAGAAGATAAAGAGCACATGTTAGTGTCTGCTTTATAAACACATCTCCCCCCAACTTCTCATTTTCCCACAGGAGCTTCTCACCTCGTGTTTATTCCCACGGAGCTTGCTGTTGTTGTCTGAGTCATACACACAGGGCACCTCGCTGCCGTCCTCTGAGGCCGAGCACATGTCGCTGCCCCCCGGGTGAGCCGGGGTGAAAGCACCGGGCTGGCTGCTGTAGGAGTGTCCTTCGAACACCTCCCCTCCTACACCTCCTCCTCCAGCGGCTCCCCCTGCTCCAGCGGCTCCGTGGAGGGGGAGCAGCGGGTTGTCACCGGCGTGCGTCCGGCCCCGCTCCAGAGTGCCCTTCTCCCCGTAGGAGTCGCTGTCCTCTCCGCTTTTTTCACGGCGGCGCCGGTTGCAGGTGGTCGCGATGAGGATGATGGCGAGCAGCAGGAGCGTGCAGCTTCCCGCGAGCACGACGATGATCACCACAGACAGGTCCCACTGCGCGCGCGCCTCCTCCCCGCCTCCTCCCGCCTGGTACACCGTCCTGTCGCTCGGCGGGGAGCCGGCGATGATGAGGAAGTGGAGCGTGGCGGTAGAGGTGAGAGCGGGGCGTCCGCTGTCGCTCACCGTCACGGTCACGCTCAGGGTCTCGTCCACCTCGTGGCTCAGCACCTGGTTCAGGTAGATCTCCCCCGTGGCTTTATTGACGGAGAACACGGAGGGCTCCCCGGTGGCAAGGCCGTATGACAGCTCGGAGTTCACACCCTCGTCAGCGTCCCGCGCCTCCACTCGGGTCACGATGTAGCCAGTGGGCGCGTCACGGGGCAGGAGGACCTCAGCGGAGCCGTTGTTGAGCGGCGGCTGCATGATGATGGGCGCGTTGTCGTTCTGGTCGATGATCCGGACATAGACGCTGGCGCTGCCGGACAGGGGCGTGGAGCCGCCGTCGCTGGCGGTGATCCGGAGCTCCAGCTGTTTCATCACTTCATAGTTGAAGCTCCTGAGCGCGTAAAGCGAGCCGCTGGCCGGATCCAGAGACACGAAGGTGGAGATCGGGGAGCCCATGAAATAGGTGTCCGCTAGTTTGTAAGTGACCTTCCCGTTTGACCCCATGTCCATGTCCCGCGCCACCACCGTGGTGATGTAGGCTCCAGGCGCGTTGTTCTCCACCACCGCCACCTCGTACACTGGTTTACTGAACACCGGCGCGTTATCGTTCTCATCCGTCAGCCTGATGGTGTACTGGGTGATGGTCCTGAAAGGAGGGGAGCCCAGATCCTCCGCTACTACTGTCAGGTTGTATTCGGGGATCTTCTCTCGGTCCAGTGGGCTGGTGCTGACAATCATAAAGCTGTCCTCGTAGGCCTGCTGCAGCCTGAAGTGATCATGTCCGTACAGCGTGCAGTGCACCTGTCCGTTTGCGCCAGAGTCTCTGTCCGAGGTGCTGACCAGAGCCACGAAGCTCTCCCTGGCTGCAGCCTCAGTGATGTACGCTATCCCCGCTGTGATGGAGGTCATCGGGGTGATTGAGATCTCCGGCGCGTTGTCGTTCACGTCCTGCACCTGAACTACGATTTTACACATGGCCGGAGTCGGGTTCGGACCCAGGTCACTGGCCTGGACGTCAAACTCATAAGTGTTCTTGCTCTCAAAGTCAACCGGGCTCTCCAGAGTTAATCGACCCGTTTTCCTGTCCACCCTGAAAAGTTGCCGTATCTCAGGTGGCACCTGGTTTCCAAACCCGTACACCACCTCACCGTTCAGCCCTTCGTCTGGGTCCTCGGCGTTCAGGTCCAGCAGGAGGGAGCCCACCGGCGCGTCCTCGGGCAGGTCCACCGAGAAGCTGCTCCTGTCAAACACCGGGCTGTTGTCGTTGTAGTCTTTCACCTTGACATTTATGCGCGTCGTCCCGCTGCGGGATGGATTCCCTCCGTCCATAGCGACCAGCTCCAGCGCGTAAGAGGCTTGATTCTCCCGGTCCAGCTCCTTCAGAAGCACCAGCTCTGCATATTTAACCCCGTCGGCCCTGCTGAGCACATCGATGGAAAAGTGGCTGTTCACAGAGATCTGGTAGCTCTGGATGTAGTTCACCCCGACGTCTTCATCCACGGCGAAGTCCAGTGGGATCCGGGTGCCCACCGCCGTGTTCTCAGAGATCTCCAGACTCGACTCTTTTCGGGGGAACTCCGGGGAGTTATCGTTGATGTCCTTGACCTCCACCTCTACGTGGATGAGTTTGAACTGCTCTTTGGAGAAGCTGACCACGTCGAAGGCGATGAGACAGAGCTGGGTGTGTTTGCAGATCCGCTCCCTGTCTATCCTCTCCCCTATCGTCAGCTGTCCGTCGCTCTCCCTGAGACGGATGAAAGAGGAGTTGAACTGTTTCATCATCCTGAAACTGTTCCTGGAGCCTCCTGATGAAGGAGAAGTAGGATAAACGTCCTTAGCTAAGTTTCCAATCACTGTCCCCGGTGCGTCCTCCTCAAATGTCTGATATTTCACCGTTCTGCTTTGCGTGAAAGCTGCAAAAAACAGGACGGAGACGCACAAAAACACCAGCCGCCCTTTCCACCCTGTTTCTCCCATCTTGATGTTCTGAAATTCAGCAAAGTGTCCTCACTGACTCCAACTTTGGAGTTCAAACAAAACGCAAAAAAAAGTGTTCTCCTCTCCCTCCTGTCCACTCTCCCGGGCTGTTCTTCAGAACAAAGCCTGTGATAAATATTCCATAGGTCTGTTAATGCGCACTCTGGATGCGCTCCGTTCCCTCACTCACTACTGGAGGTGTGCTGCTCTGTCAGCGCAAGCGGGCTGCAGTGTCTGCAGGAGGGTTTATATGGCGAGGCATGCAAATGAGCCGCACTGTGACCAATCCGGGCTTTGAGATGGAGACGTTCAAAAACTGAGGGGGCTCTTCTGTCAGACCTCTAAACCCTGTTTAGAGATTCCCGGGCTGTCCGGAGCAACTTGGCATCCAATTTGCGTTTAAAACGCAGAGCTTGATTTAATACTGTTATACTTTCCGTTGCTTGTTTATGTTCCTCGGGCTGTTAAATGAGTCTGCGCACCGACACATGGAGAGGAGGGTGGGGGGTGCTCGGAGATGCGCAGTGTCCCTGAGCTAGAGGACAAAGCATTTGAATAGGAGTGTCTGATGGGACTGCTTTAACTCTGGATACGTTTCAGTGGGTAGAGATTTATACCGAAATACTGTTTGGATTTCTCCACGCGTGTCCCGTGTAACCCACTAAAGGAATAAAGAACAGGAGCCCGTGATGTCCCACTGACCTCTCCACCTCTAAAGCTGGAGGAGACTCAAGCATTAAGCATGCAGGACATAAATTATAATTTCCCTCATCCTCAGTGCGCGCAAATCTACTCAGCCAGACATTAAAGAGCTTTTAGATGCGCGTTTAAGGGACTCATAACACCTTCTGCAGCTCACTGTGCCGGAATAATGGAACAGCCGCTGCTTGGAAAAGTATTCAGACCCTTAGAACTTTTCCACATTATCTCACATATGACCATCAGGGGTTTAACAGTTGGAGGAAAAGGTCTAGAGAAGAGAATCTAAAAAGTGCGGTGTGCATTTATATTGATGGAGGTGTATGCTGGTGAAGATTCTCAGTCATCCAGGTCATAGTCATTCTAAAAAAAAGTTAAAAAACGATCCACTGGACTTTGTTTCCAAGTTTGAAGACATTTTACTTCAGGGAAGCTTTTGCAATTCAAAATGTCATAAATAGAGTTGAGTTTGAGGTTTTATACAGTAGCCCAACAATAGACAGGTACCGGGCGTTGCAGGCTAACAAATGAAGCCTGTTGTTTGGCTTCCAAAGGGATGGACCCGTTCATACGTTTCACTTCGCATGTTTTCTTAACAAAAATAAGGCTTTTTTGGGCTACTGTATAAAACCTCAAACTCAATGATATTTCTGACATTTTGCATTGAAAAGGCTTCCTGGATCGTAAGCGAAGCGTCTTCATACTTGGAAACAAAGTCCAGTGGATTTTTTTTTCTTTTTTTGGAATGAATATTGATGGAGTTATTACTTAGAATAACTTTTAGCAGCCATTTTAAATCTTCCAGGGTGTTTCTCTGTGCACATCTACTGAATGAATGTAGTATCTTTGTTAAAGAACTAAACCTCAGTCACATTCGATAGAAGGTATGTTTCAAGTCTTCACACAGATTATCAGTTGGTTTTCTTGTCTATGGTTGTTCTAATGATTGAAATTGTCACAGTGTAGCTCTAACTGCATGTTTCGGGTCTGGGAAAGTCTTTTTTCGCATCTCTCAGGTTTTCTTCCAGGACCGTTTTGTACTTTCCCCCAACTAGCGTTTTGTTAACTCTATACAGCTAACTCCCCTGTGCTGAAGAAAGGTTTCTACAGTACCATGCCGCCACTACTGTGTTTTAGCCAGAGAATGCAATTTCAGTGATGTGTTTTTGTTTTTCTCCCATTTCTTTGGAAGGTGCTGACCTGACCAGAGAACATTCTGGCTTTTTTTCAAACTTCAACATTGTTTCTTGAGACTTTTGATTTTCTTAAAGGCAAGATTTGTTGAGTCCAAAAGCTCCCATTGGTATCTTGGATGTTTTCTCTAAACAATGCTCTCCTTACTGTGTCTTTCAGGTTACTTAGATGGCCATGTTGTATGTGTGCATTTACCTCGCACTGTTCACCATTCTTTTTTAATCATGGTGATAAATTAAAGTCTTGCACTGTAAGTAATTGTCCTGTAAAATAACAGTAAAGAGCTGGCAGCAGAGACGCCAGCAATATACCGTTATTTTTACGGTATTCATCCGTAAATTGATTTTACAGTAGTAGACCGTAAACCAGAAATACGGTATATTTCTGTATTTCTATGAGTGACGGTAAAGAGCTGGAACCTAGGACACCAGCGATATACTGTAATTTTAGGGTTTTCATACCGTAAATTGACTTTACAGTAGTAGTCTGTTTTCTCATTGTTTAATGATTTCACTGTCTAATACATTAAAAAATAAATGCATCATATTTCTATTATTTGGAAATTACAATAATATTCTGTTTAAGTTCACTGTAGAGAGGCACAGTAGATACACAATACAATAATTCAGTTTAGCAGTTTCCTAAAATATCAACCTTGAATACATGCAATCAGTATAAGAGCTTCATTATTCTACAGACAGTTGCTCAAGCATTATTATGAATATTGTGCAAAATAAGCAATCAAATCAAAAAGAATCAAAATAATTTATTTCAAAAGGCAATATAATACTGAATATTGTTACTTTCAAAAAATTGAGAAAAAAACCCCCAGAAAATAAACCGTGTTGGGTGATGCTGAGAAGATATTTCGAGTAGCAAACAGAGACAGCTGACTAGCTGACTTTGAGCCAATGTCAATATTATTTAACATTGTCTTTTACACACCAACACAACAAATACAGAGGAAATAAGAGTTTAAACATTATTAAGACTACTTCAAAGTAGGAACATTAAGACCTTTTTGATTATGAGTAAAAACATTCAGCAAACCAGCATGTGTTTTTCCTCTTAAAATAGTCCTGTGAGATAGATTAAAATTTTCCTCTAAACTCCACTTAAAACATGTATATTATGTAATCTGCAATGTATTTTCTGATGTCTGTGAAAATGCAGAATACTGTATGCAGAATTGACAACATGTGGAAAATAAACGTAAGAACATTTTGAAAAAGTGCATCAAGGCCATTTCAAATCTATTACAGTACAGAACATGTGGATTTATACATCATTACAGTAATATGGATAAAAGAGAACATTTAGGGAAGAAAATGTACTTTGCTTCTTAAAGTAGTCCTGTGAGGTAGTAGTAGTAGTATTCCCGGGAATCTGGATGGGTGTGAACCACCCTGATTCAAATCTTGTGGATCCAGGAGAGATGTTCAGTTTGTTAGCTGCTGTTCCTCTACAGTATTATTCTAGTGGAGCCACTGTCAAACAATAACAAACAAATATTATACAATCGGGAATGTACAATATACTCTCCAAGCTAATGCTTATAAAACTAATAAATTGTTGTGGCTTAATGTGGCAATGCCAGATTGTCAAAACAACACATGGACAGACAGCAAGATTAAGGAGTACTCACTGATCTATGTGAAGTCCCATTCAAAGTCAAGGAGTTTCTTCAGGAGCATGGAGACGTGTGTGTTGACTGTGGAAGACTTCTTCTGGACGATCACACTTTTTTTCTTGGAGACAACCTTCCCCCTTTTGGCCTTTGTCCATCTCTCTGGATTTATACCAATGAAGCGCCTAAAATCGTCAAAATAGTCTAAGATAAGAGTGGAGTAAAGTGACAGCAAATGGGATTCTAATGAGGTCCAATACCCTGTGTGTGTGCGTGTGTGTGTGGGGGGGTGTGCATGCGTGTGTGTAAGCTGTCGTCCGGCTACTGTATAATATAGTTAACCAAGATTTAACAACAACAACAAAATAGTAGAGAAGTAGAGTAGAATATAGTAGAATATTGACTACCCTATTCAAATCTAAGCATCACTGATAGCTTACATATAGCCTAGCTAGACAAACTCCTGAGCATTAGCCTATATCAAACATTCTTGGCAATATAAATAAAATAGCAAACACAAAGACAAAGAGAAAAGATTTAGATTTACGTACCGTTACATTTTTTAGATGCAAGGCTGGAATCGTTGTGATGAAGACAGATGGTAGCACGTTGTGTGTTCTGCAGTCGTCTTCTGGAAATTTTTCAGAAAATACTGTAGTATCCCGTTATTTAAAACAGCCGCATACTGTTTACGGCCTCTCAGGGGCGGATCTAGAAAAATATTTATGGGGTGGCAAGAGGGGGGCAGGAATTTTTTAGGGGTGGCAACATATGGCATTTGTTTACACTGAATTTAATCACAGTTATCACAGTTTGGTGAGAATAGTATGTAGAGTACTAGTGTTTCATGTGAAACAGTTCATATTACATCGTACAATGTGATCTCACTTAATAGGAGATAGAAGAATGATAACACTACTTCTAGAGGGGCCTTATGACAGGAAAGGTATTAAGGTAAGACACAGGTGCTGAGTCGCAGATGTGTGAGATTGACTGTCAGAGAGGCAGCTTTGCAGCATTTGCACAAGAAGAAACTATAGAAAGAAAAAGTTCCACATCAGAGATCTATGGACTGAGCTGTACTAAAGTGAGCAGAACTACACAGTAGAAATAAATGGGTCAAGGCACCCGAACAAGGTACCAGACATCTATGTAATGTTTACTCTGAACACACATTTACCCCATTTGTTCCTTAGTAACTTGACATACAGCAGTTAAGGCAACATGAAAGGGACATTTCATGCATGTAAATATGCTGTAGATAGAGCTGTATATGGAGGACCAACTCCGCCATATTTAAAAATAAATACAGAAATAAATAAATGCTCAATAAATAAATAAGCATACAATTAATTGCCACCAAAAATACAATCAACAAATAAATGTAATTAGAAATTATATTATAATGGCAAGCAGAAATGTTAAAAGGGCAGGCAGAAAGAAATAGCGGCGAAGAAATAACTAGGGTAAAAAAATACAAAGGAAGAATAAAACAGACAAAAATATGATAACATGCACATAAATAAATACTTAAAAATATAAGTAATTAAAAAATGAAGTTGAAGATAATAAATGACAAAAAAATAAATAAGGTAAATATTAAAAAGGCAAAGAAATAAAGAAGCCAATTAAAAGAGTTATATACCTTTATGACTAGCTGTATAATTTAATTTCTACTTACATTTATTTGTTGTTTGTATTTTCGGTGGCAATTAATTGTAT